ATGCTGTTTGTCTGTATTTTACGTAATAACAAAAACAAAAAAATTATTTGCGGCATGTAACCAGTTGCGCACGCAGAGAGATGAGAATTTCACTCTATTCTGTTGGCAAACTGGGCTTTGTAGCCGGCGACTGGGCTTATTAGCCAACGGATTTCGCTATGGCAAATTCCGTCCCAAGCTGACTTGGGCTTAATACGTGGCTGGGCTTATTAGCCGTGGGCTTAATAACCGGCGACTACTGTACTAACATACTGATTAGAGAAAAGAATGCTATATGGAAAAAAATGTCCCACGGATAACAGTTACAGATTAGACCTGACGACAAATTGTGCGGAGCAAATGATACAAGACAGCCTTTTTTCAAGATATCTTTAAAACGTAAAACAAACCAAACCGTCATTCGTGAGCTGCATTGAAAAAAAGATTTCTGCATTTGCAGCTGGAACCTAACTTACAGGCACAGTTTACGTGTGGATAGATTGTGTGTACGTGGGGTTTCGCTTTGGTGCAAATGAAACCACGGATATGAAGTTTTGACATCAATCAAATTTTCGGGATAGGAAAGAGAATTTTGGCCCTTACCTGTACGAAGCCGAGATTCCATCGATCCTCCAGTGGATTATTAGCCGCCAACTGGGCAATATGAACCCGCCTGACCGGACAGGCCTCCGATAAGACTTTCGACTTGTGGAATTCGGAGAAGTCGATGTGCTGAGACTTGTCTTCCAAAAACTTATCCACTTTGTCAGCCAAATTGCCTTTGAAAAGGGACTGAAAGTGGTGAAAGTGGTCCCCGACCGGCATGCTGCTCATCGTTCGACAGAAAGTATGCGTACTGCGCAGGATATGCAGACAAGTTCTTGATGAAAAGATCATTTCTTCTGCAAGGGGAGTATTTTAAAAAGAAGGCAATCAGTTGTCCACAAGAAGGCATCAAGAGTTTTACCCTTAATTTTGCGTTTAGGTGCAGACTTCAAAAGGAAAAAAGTCAGGCAGTAGTCGACCCATCCGACTAATAAGGAGTTCGCAAAAATGGCAAGCTGATGTGCTGCGAAACATGGCAAGTGGGACTGCCAATCAGAACAAAATTTGTCAAAGTGAGATCTTTAAAATGGCTCTCTGACCACATTTAGCAAACGAGCGCATTCTCGGATGGCTTCATAAACCAAAGATTCGCCGCGTCCAGTCAAGTGTGCTTATTGTTTTTTTGTGCAAAACGCAAAGATTTCTGCGAAAAAATATTTTGTGATTATGACTGCAACAGAAATCAGTCAACCAATACAGATTTTCTTTCTTATCTTAGGTCTCATATTGGTGCGGCGTCTCAACTACCTGGCAGTAGACGGATTCCGAATTTTTGATGAGAAGGCTTGCAAAGCAACTTGGAGTGATGGGGCTTCCAGGTGTAAGAAAAGTACAAACCATAAGAAATAAAAGCTCAGTGGTAGTGCACATCCTCGAAGACAGCAATGCAGGGGCTCGAAGAAATAGGCAGTATTCTAGGTGCAGTCGGGAATTCATATGAGCTGTCCTGTAGATGCCAATTCGGTGATTGTGCTTATCCCTGCGTCAAAAAACTGGTGGTGTACATAATCAAAGTGGCTGAATGTTCTTAATTTTTCGGCATCAACTGCGAAATGCCATTGGATAGTGTGCCGGCGGTATACGGAGAAGTTTTGTTTAAGTTATTCGTGATAATTCGACTTTCGTGACCGATAAGATCTCTTGCGTACATTCTGACAGATCAAAATGTTTTTATAAACATCACTAGAAGTCTTTAGTGCACTAGTACCTTAGATGTAGCCTTACACAATAACAAGAGTTCCAATATTACACGCTCTTGTGGATTTATATGTACAATGCGATCGTTGTTTCCAATTATGTCTACCGTGTGCCCTACAGTATAGTGACTTTAATGTGAATTAGTTTGCGGTAGTAGCATACTTACGTAACATCTACCGCACTCTACTGCATCTGAGCACGGTGCCACAACAGAGTCAAGGAGACTGAATGCGGTATCGGGTGCAGTGGCTGAAAAAAACTACAAAACTCGTCCGTGCATGCCCCACACGCCTAGTCCGTGTAAAGTGGAGCAATTCACCTTCAACAAAGTCGGCGGACAAGGAGAAATTCGGCTGAAACAACGCCTAGTAGATGGGAGGGGTGAACAAGGAGTTACTCTAAGGACTGGATGGAAGGAAGGAAGTATTTCACTGACGCCTGCTTCAGGTAAAAACGTCCAGTCACGAAAACTCTATGCATGAGCTGTTTTGTGAAAGCAGAATGAGGGCGTGCAGTCATTGTATTTGGTATACA